TCAAAATTGAATTTTTGTGGTCAAAATTGAACTTTTATGGACAAAATTGATTAATTTGGATTACAATTAAGAATTGGGTATAAATGATTGAGGGTAATATTGGGATATACATGAATGTTTCCTTTAGTTATAATAAATATTAAAGGGATGGGCTTATTGGTGAAAGAGATATGTCCCCTATACCTAGAATAATAAACATGCTTGGTTGGGGACTTTTGCATAAAAATCCCAATTCATAATAGACACCTAGCTAATGTCTATTAGAAATAAGATAGGGACAAAAGGACCACAACTTTCCTACTTATGTTGTTCTGTCAGTAATAAACTCATGATATATATATATATATATATATATATATATATATATATATATATATATATATATATATATATATATATATATGTATATATATATATACCATGCACACATCCAACACATGGATTAAAAAAAATCTAACCCTCGACCTCTAACCAAACACTGGTGTGAGAGAGGCCCCCGGTGTGAATAAGCTAAAGTTTAGTTGATATGTGATACATATTTGTACCTATTTAGTTCGATAATAATAATATTTATTATTATTATTATTATTATTATTATTATTATTATTATTATTAGAATTTATTTCGTGCAGATATTAAATTATTTGTGTCAGATTCAGTTTTTCGTTACTGTTGCGTGAAGTGTTGCAACAGTTCGTGAAACAGTTTGTAAAAACAGAAATAAACGAGACACAAATTTTAATGTGGTTCGGATACAATTGTACCCTACATCCACGGGGACCTGCAAATAAAATTTACTAATTTTTAGTTTTACGAATACAATAATAGGACTTAATCAAAATACAAAGACTCCCTCTTTGTTGACGCCGTTCTTGTATACTACGCTGAATTATAAATCTTCAATTTGCAGCATGTCCCTTGCTCCGCACGGTTGAACTCCCTTCAACGCTGAATCCCTCAGTCGGCGGATCGATCTCCTCCCGAGATCTGTTTAAGCCCCTCTCCCGAAGAACCGATCTTCTTTTTGTATAGAAGAAGCAAACTTGTGATACTCCTTGAATCTTGGTGTCTTCACCACAAAGCCTTGAAGCCGGTATATTTTCTATGAAAATCACGTATCACGATGGAACAATAAAAACGAGAGGAAAAATATTTTCTGTGAAAAATTTCTCTCGATCAAAGACGTTCCGGGAACAGCGAAATTAAGAGCAGAAAAATATATTTTTTCTCTCCAATCAAACGCATGCAGATAACGATGCTTGAAGCCCTCTTTATACGTTCATAATTCTTCCTGCACAAGAAAATACAAATCTAATTAGATCTCTTATTCACGTTAAAAAGAGTTGTATAGGAAAATACAACTATTCATTCCTTATCTAAAAACTAATTCCCTTAACTATTAAAACACAAGGAAATAAAATCCATTAGGTTAGGGATTCTTATTCACGTAGGAGAATAAGTTGTAAAATAAGAAAACTCTTTGTATAAAGATAATTCCTAATATAAATCAATTAATGACAAATTAAAAGGAATTAAAACACAAGGAAACTCCCTTTCTTATATCACGGCATATCTAGACTTGTGCTACAATCCCTTTACACGTTTCCTTGCAAAGTCAGAATCCAAAGGATTCTAACAATCTCCCCCTTTGTCGTTTATTGATTATAATCATTTTCTCCCCCTGAGTAAAATAACCTGAAAATAAAACAATCAGATGATAGACGGAAGCAATAAAACGAAGATCATCATCAACTCTTTTCAACAACAAGAGTAGCATCAACTGCTGCAATAGTAAGTGCCACAGTTTCAGCAACTGTTCCCACAGTAGTGGCTCCGGCAGGTGGTTCACAACGGAGTCAGCTCCCCCTGCATGTGTATCGCCCTCTGTGAATGATCCTTAGACAGCTCTTCTTGTAAATGCGTTTATTCTTCCCCTTTGCTTACTCGGCTTGATAGACTTGGAAGGCGGTGGATGACAACGTGGTAAATTATCCACGTGATAAGAGATTCAGCAAATGACATCGGCATTAGCTCCTTCTTTTATATTCTTGTGAAGCTCTGGAGAAATCAAACAAGGAAACCAATTAATGACAATTACCACAATAATAATAAAAAGATGAAATTCCTTCTATTTTGGATAGACACGTTCAGGTGATTAATATGGAGAGATAATTTATTTCTTCTCAAATTATCTAATGAGATAACTAAGAAAAATATGTTCCTCATATTAATACACATCTCCATAGAATTCCACTTGGTATTGTGGACTTAGAATCCCACCGAGATTCTAACACTCTCCCCCTTTGGCATTGATTGGTCAGAACATTTACTCCCCCTAAATATATGATATATGCATGAACAAGGGTTAGCAAATTCAGAATAACATCTGCACATATAAACTGTTGCAACAGTTTATCAAACAGTTCACCAGATAGTGTAAACCGTAAATAAACCATAGTTCCAAAATAAAAGCAGATAATTCGTTCAGATAAGCACGAGATAACAGGATATGCCGTAGCAGAAACAACTTCTCTTCACAATGCTTATTATTTGTCCTATATTTCTACCC